GGGAAGTGTTTACACTGCACAAAGGCTGGTAATAACAATAAAAATCCTTCCCCTTCTAAAATGAGGAACCGCCTGAGACAGAAGACTCACTGCTCTCACAGCCACATGACAAGCAAGAGAAACAACAGAAACACCAGAGATGTGATCTAAAGTGGTGGATAGGCTAAAATTAGTTAATGTTCTGATTTCTTCTGTGAAGGGAGGATAAGTTCTATTTTTATTTCTTTTAATTACATCAAAAATCCTCGAGGTCGCTGGAAAGTGATGGACTAGGGATTCTTAATACACACGCGTACTAACGTAAATACACATACATGTTAGTGTTTAGGAACACTAATTAAAAGTTGATTTTGCAAAGTAAGGAGAAAAACACCTCAGAATTCACTTTCAGAATTGTATCAGAATAACATCAGAAAAATTTACAGACTACCTTACCTAAAGCAACTTCTACTCTAGTCTTAAGAGAAAGGTTACCAGTATATCTCATTTTTTTCCACCCCATCTTTTCTCTCTTGCCTTTCCAAATAAAGCTTTTCTTCTTCCTATTGAAGTACTAATATTTTCACTACAAGAAAGGAAATTCGTATTGCTTTTTCTCATTTTCAGTTTAAGCTGGTGTTGCTCAGAGCTGGGATGAAATACAGTGAAATGACTGAGTAGAAAATGAAGATTTTGTTAAAAGTTAGAAAATTGATGAAACAACCTTAAGCTACATACAAAACAGAAGCACTTAAGTACAACGCAAAGGACCACAGGTACAGCTCCTCTAGGCTGCAAAGTTGAACTATTTTCTTTGTGGTATCTTTGTTGATCTTGTGAAGTGTAATTTGAGACAGCTGAAATTTTCTGATATACTACACTTGGTTTTCTTCAAGTGAATGTTGAGCTGTGACACAGATGTGAGTTGTTGGTTAGCCTACACAGTTCAAAACATATTTATATGGCTCCCCACTTCCCCTCCCTGCCTGCCTGGGTGCACAAAAACACTGATGAAGTTACAAACTTCTTTTGGGAAAGGCAGCAGTGTGAAGAATCATAGAGAAGATGTAATGGTGCAAAAGAATGGGAAAGAAGACAGCAAATAGCTTCACTGGGGAAAGAGGGAAAAAAGAGAAAGCTTTTAAATGAAGCTGTGTGCTGGGGCTGGCTGCAATGAAGTTAATTGTTTCATCACATCTGCACCTTGCCACTTGCAACTAAAATTGTGCTGATAGCACACCAGTATTGGAGGTGGTGCTGAACAAGGCTTGCAGGGTGTCAGGGCTTTCTCTTCCCAGCTCTGTCACCCACAGGGCTGGCAGGAGGCTGGCAGTGGGCACAGCCAGGACAGCACCACGGGCTGACCAAAGGGCATGTCACATAGTGCCAGGCACAGCCACAGAACTGGGGCTTTGGCCTTTCCACAGTACCCCTCTTTGGAGGCTGACTGACTAGGCACTGGTCTGCTTGTGGGAGGTGAGAAGTGACTTCTTCTGCATCTGTTTGTGTCCCCCTACTCTTTCTCCTCATTTTTAAAACTGCTTTTATACCTTGACCCACAAGTTTTCTCACTGTTGCTCTTCTGATTGTCTCCCCCATCCCACTGTGGGGGAGTATGTGATCTGCTGGGTGGGGATTTGCTGGCTGAGGTGATCACACCATACAGTAAGAAAAGGAAATAACCACAACGATAATGACAGTCAAATTATAAATTAATCTGGAAGTTAGAGACACAGAAACTACGTCTTTTTTTTCTGCTGCTTTTTCTTCTGCACTTCTTTAAAATTAATATTTACCTGAATTATCATACAAGCAGTGATATTTCAAAAAAGGACACTTTTTTTCTTTTCTCCTGGATGTTGAAGAGATCTTTAGGAAAAGTAATTAAATATACAGCTCAAACTGTCTGTCTATGAATGTGAAACCCCCTATGGTTGCAAACAAAATTTCTTCTATTAAGACACAGGCCAAATTTAGGAAAAAATATGAGCTGCTTTAAAGTAGGTGTTCAATACAGGGTCATCAGAGTGCTATGGCATTTGAAGCTGGGGCTGTGTTGCAGACTTGGCCAGCAGTCAATAAGCTCACCCAGACACTGTGGCAGCAAGCTGCCTCTGGCAATATTTTAATATTTATTTGTCTTTGCATACATTTTTGTTCCCATATTTTTCAGGCCAATGGGTGAAATTCAGGCTGCTGAGGTCAACTGTGGTGATGTCACCACAGTGAAACTGTCAGTGTCAGAAAATGCTGCAGCAAGAATCTTAGCTTGCAGACATAATTACAACTTCACTAAAAAAGGTCATAACTTTTTCTTCTAATATAAGCAAACAGGGTTTTTTAATTCAGAGAGAAAAGACCGGGATTTTCAGATATGAGTGATGGTTTTCACTGTATAACTACCAATTTGTGTACAAAGACCTTTTGCTATTGATGCTAACAGGAGCCCATCACTCTTTCTCAGCCTGACAGATCCTATTGCATTTGAAGGTGCTCCATTTTTATGAGGAACAGTCCCCACCATGCTGCAGGAAGCCATGCAGGTGTGCACCCTGCTTTTCCTCACTTAGACCTTTCTAAAGCAACAAAACAAACGGCACACAGACCCCTAAAAGCACCCAAGGCAGCTGCCCTGCCTGACACACTGCTGATCCTAAGGCTTTATCACTGAATCACTGCTGCTGCTTTGAAGCTGTAGCCTGAACACAGTGTGCTACTTAGCACACATCTGCACCTTGCCGCAGCAAATGCAGCTCATTTGGAAAGAATTCATTTCATAATTGTAAAAAAAGATACTTAAAAAGTGTGTGCCCTGGGAAATCCAGCCACTGAGACAATGCATGGGAGACCTTCAAGTTAAACACGTTTCAGTGGAAACTCTGCCTGTTGCCCTCCTACACAGAGGAGAGTCTGTGCACACTTAAGCCACAATAAACGGATGCCACAGCACTCACTATCTTTGCTGCTCAGTAGTAGGTGGATTGAGAAGGTGGTAAACTCATGCTAGATAAGGCTCAATCTGAGTTACAGCAAACAGATTTTTTCCAAATAAAACAATCTGAATTACCTACAATGAATTCAGCCACTGGCCCTGGCCTTCCCACTGCAGAGATAAAACAGCAGCTGCACAGCCTGCATCTAAACTTGAAATGCCTGATTTAGAGTGTTTCTGCTGTTCAAGCTGTGGGTGAGCACGGACAGCTCAGCTGGGTCTCTCATTCCTTGTAACACTCTTCAAGAGCTCTTGTTCAACAGCTTTGCTTTGAAGGGCTAGGAATGCCAGAACTCAGCCCATTTTTCCCTTTCTGTCAGTGGGGATAACCAGAAAAGGCTCAGGAAATTCTGGAGCCCAAGACAGAGAGACAAAATGCTGAGAAGAAAAAGGAGACTTTTTAAAAAAACAAAACAAAAAAAATCCCCTTTTTTCTGCCCTCTTTCACTTTGGTAACACTTCTCCTGCCCCCATCATCAGTCAGCACATCAGCTTCTCTTTTCTAATTAAATGAGTGTGGAGCTGACTTGGAAAGAAAGCCAGGAACTACAACACAGAAGTTTCTTACTGGTTTCTAAGATGAAGTAGGAGCCTGTTTGGCCAGTCAGTGGCTTAACCTACTTTATTTTAATGAATTATCCATGAGGTGAGATACATAGAGGTGCCATGTCAGCACAGTCTGAGGTCATCACCAACATCATCAGAAAAGCTTTGAAATTAGTTCTAAGAGGCAGTACTTCGTGTGGAGTCTAACAAAACGTGTATAAGCACCAGCCAAAATAAATTATCATCTTTTCCCCTGCAGATGTGCACTAGTACCAGCCCAATTCCATGAGGGCCAGCATGGCATGCCACCCCACTGTATGGAAACCTGGATGCAAGGAGAATTACAGATTTAATTTTTTTTAATTAAGAAAAATATTAGAAGTGTTAACTGTGACATGTGCAGATGAAATTAACTGCTTAAGGAATATATTTTTTTTTTCACAATGAAAGAGCTTCATAATCTCTTGAAGATTGGATCTTTTTCCCATAAAAATTCATCATAAAGAACCATTTTCTGTGAAATATTAATTAACAGATTGTAAATATCAAAATTCAAATCATTAGTGAGTCCAGAATTATATAATTATAGCATTGAGAACTGCTCTGAAAATTCAAAGGGTCTCAGGCATAATGCTTTCAGCCAAGTCCAGAAACTGAAACAGTTTAATTTGCTACTAGTTTTGTAACATTTCTCACAGCAGTGAGATTTGCTTGATAAGACCCTTTGCCTGGAATATATTTTTGATGTCTGAGACGAGTCTGACATTTCAACTTCCTATTTAATTTTTAAGTAACTTCTGCTTTAAAGTTCTGAGCCGAAGTTCCCTGCCCCAAGTAAACCAGATCTTTTAATTTTTTACTTTCATTTTCCACTTCTGCTTTTCTTT